CTAAATCAAAGAGGAAAATTGTGGGCAGGGAAATTAGAGAGCTGAATGGGTCAAAACCTGTGCAGAGCGTTCTCATTTACATATTATATAATTTGAGTCATTGTTCATTTTAAAATATTAATCAAAACTGCTTCAAGGCTGGTGCTTGAGTAATATGCGTTTTTTATGTTTTGCTACAGTGTAAATAGTTCAGTTGGAGATGTTTAAAGGGGCTTACTTTTGTTGGTTTGTTTGTGGGTTTGTTTTGAGTGACACGTGGAGATTCCTGCTATTGGCACTACGACATCAATATTTCAGGCACCGATGACGTAGAAGTACATCCCGTAGCACGACATGCTTTTCATCTCACTCAGCAGTCCAGTACTATGAGCAACATATGGCCTTGTATGAATGGCATACCAGACAGCAAGACATTTCCAGCATGGCCTCCTGTGTAGCTCCTGAACGGGAGCGCAAAACAGACAGATGACCTTTACTTTGTGTTGGGTCTGCACAAGGAATGTTTTCTTTCACTGACTTAGCTGCAGATTAAAACTGCAAATAACTATCACTCTGTTCTTGTGCTTGGTGAGCGCAGGCTACTGTATATTACTGGATGGTGAATTTGGCTATGAAATGAGAGACTTCTGGTGTTAACAGATGGCCGCTTCAGCCTGCCACTCGGATTCCATGGGGCTCTGCTTTACACATGACCCAGTATTCTCTTGGCCAAAACTTGCACTTCTCTTCCTCCTCAGATAACATACATGTCTCCCAGAACAGACTGATGTGACTTAGAAAGGTTTTGAGTTCAAATGAAGTTTACCAAACCATAATATTTGTTTTGATTTTGTCATTATGTTGTTAATTTTTGCAATATGGTAACAAATCAGTTGAGCTTTTTGGCATCTTAAATCTAACTTTAAAAATCGTTTTCCCTTGAAAACAAATGTGGGAAAATAGGAAGGATTGAAAATGGCTTTGCTGTGACTCCAAGCATCTGGGAATCAAATGGCAATCTCCCGGGAAATGGGAAATTGGCATGATAACACATACCATTCCCCTGTAGTTATACATGGCAATAGGAAATTTCCATGTTTCAGTGCACTTATGAACTGACTAAGAATAATTAAACACTTCCACGATCATCATGAGTGCTGGTAAAAAGCAAACAAACAAAAGAATAGCAGGTATCCGTATCATAAAATATGACACAACCTTTTAGATATAACAAAGACAGCAAGGCTCAGGGGACAGAGCAGAACTGCATCTATGATGTCATCCCCTACTCAGGGACAGCATTTGCCCAAATACTGAGATTAGGATTATTCTCGTTTGCTCTGAACATCTGCTGTACACAAACAGAATGAGACCAGCAGGAGTAAAAATCCCTGCACTAAAGATGGCAGTTATTTAGATAAGAATGGCTTTTATAGCAGGAGGGCCAAACATTCATCGGATCGTGGTCACCCCTTTCGAAATGTACAAATGGACTCTTATTTTATGGAAATAGCGTAAATAGTCCTCTGTGAATACCGTGGCTCTGTGTTCAGTGAGGGTGAACTGAATAAATGAGCTAATGCTGTTAGTGTGCATCAGAAGCAGAAGCAGCTGTGAAATTATTGTCAGTCATGCAGTATGTTAAGTATGTTCTTATAACCACAGCAGGTGTGAACCAGCTCTGGCTGGCTTTTGCTTAGCCCCAGCAGCACAGGCACACACACACACACACACACACACACACACACACACAACATAAGCATAAGCTTGCAAACAGGCATAGGCCCCTTCCAACCCCCACCCAGAGCTAAAATCAAGTCAAGTCTCATGCACATCTGCTTCACC